GAATACCCTGGCGTTAGACAAAATTTTCGTCCTACCTCGGTCGTATTTGAAGCTTGCGGAGGCGATGAAGATAACTGCTGTTTCCCGTCTTTGCGGTGTGTCTCGTCTTGCTGGGGATGCCCCTCCTTGTGATGCGTCTCTTCTTTGTGGTGTTTCCCTTCTTTGTGGTGCGTCTCCTTCTTGTGGTGTGTCTCCTCTTTGAGGTGTTTCCCTTCTTTGTGCTCAACCTTTTCCTTCTTTTCGACCGACGCAGCTGACGATTCTCCTTTCTTCACTCGCTCGCGGCGCACGAACTCCTCGAGGCAGTCTAGGCAAGGCTGAAGTTGGCTGCCATTGGCTTCCAGGTGTATCCCAGCCGCGGATGCAGCGGCGGCCACGATCGCTGCAGCTGCCGACGCACTACAACCTGACGCCGAGGTTGTCAGGCGTGCTACATCCATGGCTCCTCCCCATTTCTGCATAATAACGAAATTATTTACCAATACACTACTCCACCATGCACTGCTCAAACATGAGTCTTACTAATGGGTTGACGTTATTACTATAACGTTACGCTTATTTCGAAGACACAAGCATACAGCACCGGCCAGGGCACTGCTACGTTGTGGCTCCGACTGATTTAGGATAACCCAAGAAGAATCGGTCAGACGAATCTTCCAAGTACATAATGATTGAGTGGTTTCTATTATATCTGTGGTGTGTCACCTTGTTGAAAGCGAAATGCACAGAAGTGTGGGATTGGCCTGGTTGGTAATCTTTTATTAAACTTTTCAGTGCAAAAAAATTCAGACAACGAACACAACAGGAGAAAACGAGCGCAGACTTTCAACTGATTTATTACTACTAAGGCACGCATATATATGTTACAGAAAAAAAGATAAGATCGCATGCTGAAGCAAAAAAAAAACAAGAAACTCACAAGCAAAAGCCAAAAGAGACTGCAAGAAACCACGTGCTCACTCCGGACCATCACCTGCCGATTTAAATAGGCCAATTCTTTTTCAGATAAGCTATAGATGGTTTGCTGATGCAGCTGCCTCGAGCAATTGCTGCAGCTTCGATTATAAGTCTTCTGCATTCGTTAGGGTAGACGCATGAGCCCTTGCCTTTTTTAACAATTGCTGGCGCCCACATTCCGAATGATGAGCGGCCGAAAAACCATCCCGTCCAGCACTTCTTACATTCTGGCAATGTTCTTGAAGTGTAACATTAAGGCACCTGCCTGACTGACCTACGTACTAATGTCCACTAGACAGACGTAAACCATAAACTATTCCTGTTGCACACTCAACAAACGTTTTATGGTGCTTAATTTTGCAGTTGCTCGCGGTGTTTCCTACGAGACTAGTTCATACACATAACTGAGACAATTTATTAACTGAGCAGGTGATTTACTGTACTCTCTTTTGGCTTTTGGTTGTGGGGTCTTCTTGGTTTTTCGCTTAATCATGCAATCTTCTCATCTTTTCTATAACATATGTGCGTCACAGTAGTAATAATCAGTTCAAAGGCTGCACTCTTCCTCGTCTCTTATGTTCGTTGTCTCGATTTTTGCGTGTTGCGAAGTTTAATAAAATAAATGCGCAGTTTGTTCACCGGTTTTCAAATAAAGGAAGGTGATCATGTCGTGAGCGATAGAAATACGTGTCACGTCATCATGACATTATTGTGGCGTAAAGTAGCTTGAATTTACGGAGCTTTCATCATGTTATACCGTCGCTCGGTGATGCCTCTGCTTTTGGAGGTAATCTAAACGCACCCTATGCGCTGAAAGCTTTCGCAGGCAGGGCTAATAATGTTACCAAGTGGCAGAAAAAGAAAAAAAGAAAGACAGTCGCTTTCCCCAGCAAATTTTTCCTGCGAGTCCGTAAGGAACCCTGCCGGTTTTAATAGTGCAGCTATTTAAGGTGACCGTAAAAATTGGTAACCGCAGAAAACCACAGGTAAGCATGCTAGATGCGATTTCGGCAAGCCCTCCTACAAATTTTAGTAATTGCGAGCGTTTAGCGAATGTTCTGCTAGGCGAAATGGGGCCCTTGAAACATGTATGTGAAAAAAAGAAAGCAAAGGTAGGAAGAGAAATCGCTATATACTCACACAAACGCACCCGCACTCTCACTCTCTCTCTCTCTCAATATATATATATATATATATATATATATATATATATATATATATATATATATATATATATATATATATATATAGAGAGAGAGAGAGAGAGGAGAGAGAGAGAGAGAGAGAAAGCAATAGGGTGAAACAGCAATATACATTTTATCATAAAATGCGGAACATTAATGAAATGCATAGGAATAAAGATACAAAAAAAAGCAGAGCCTAAGAAGACCCCTCATGCACCTCCCTCTCTTTTTTTTCAGACTTTGGAGGAATAGTAAAGAGAAGCACTTTTTTATAAAGTATCTTGTTTGTATTTTTATGTCGATTGATTTAAGAATATGTTTGCAAGAATAATACCTTATTGCTATGTTCAGTGATGGGCTACTGCATGCATATTAGTCACTACGAATTCTCGGATGATTTACTACAACTTCCTAGCAGAGAGCGTTTATTAAAAACGTGCCGCGTTCTGAACGAAAGTGATTGCGGAAGAAAGGTTACCTGCAATTGGTTGCGGCTTCCGGGGTGATGCGCACGTTCGTTTTTCGCCATGTTCTTCTGGCTGCAAAGCGTACATTCCTCCATTATCTTGATCAGAGTTGTTCGCGACTGAGGGAGAGACGGCGGTAGCGACCTCCCATGGTGCCATGAGCCCGAACGACCCTGCTTTTGACTAGCGTACCGGCAATTTTGTGCCTGGTGTGTGTACCGTGGAGACATGGGACTTCTGATGATACTGTAACGAGATTCACGAGCGTTTCATCATTCCTTAAAGAAACTTCGGGGTTCCCTTCGCGAAATTCAAAATGTTGACATGAGGCATATTGTAACAAAGGATTTCGGTGTGGTCTTAGCTAACTGGGATCATTAACACGCACTTCTTTGAAATCGTTCGGGTGATTTTGTATGTCAACCATTTTCAAAAAAAATACGGATGCTTCTATGTTACGAGCAAACATGAACAGGTATACCGGACAAAAAGACACGACCACCACACCTTGTGCCTGATGCGATTGTCTTGTCCTGACCGGCTGTCCTGCATCTTTCTCTGGTGTCCTTGTGAGTGTTCGCTAGATATATGAAAGCATTCAGTCAATACCAACTAGACCACTTAAATACCTAGTGATTTAAAATACGACTTCAATATTCACAATTCTGACCACCACGAATTTAAAGCCTTACTTACCACTGCATCTTTCATTGAAGAAATGTTTGGAAATAAATATACCAAGAACTACCATGTTGAGTTCTATAACTGAACGTGTAGCACGTGCATTTTTGGCGCACACTTGCGATATTTGCCTCATGTTTAGAAACCGTAGTCATCTAGCAGCCAAAACAAGCGGTATTTAGTTCGATCACATAACACGTCTAGAAAATTAAGGTTTTAGAGTTTTTTTTTCCTTTCGAACTGAATAAGGTTACCAGGAATGTCTTTTTTGCACGGTCGTTGTAGATCGCTTCACTTGGGAGCTTGTGGAGAGACTGTGTAAATAATTGCGTTAACAGGATGCTCCTTCGAAAGACTATTGAAAACAATTCATAACATACACATATTTGATGAAGGTATACCCGTGACATGCAGTTTTGAAGACTATAGAATAGAGGATAATTTTATAGTAGCTCTCACACTAATTTTCTTCTCATGCAGGCGCTTACTACGCATTTATTATTAGAACTTGAGGCAACGTCCGCATTTTCTTGCGGGACTGCTTCTCAATTGAAACAAATCAACGTGAGCACTCCCAAATTTTGTTGGTGGAGTTTCCCTCAAGTAAGGCTGACAGCCATCCTCGAGAATGATTTCAGCTTCCCTTAAAGACTACAATGGCGCGTATTCTCACCCAGAAGACATCGCCCTGAACGAAGTCAACCTGGCCGCCTGTTGCGGTGACATGGCTCTGAATTTCGGCGTCGAAGAGCGCGCGATGGGCGTTGGTGGGCGGCTGAAGGGCGAGGAGGACCGGCTGTGCGGTGACGGCGAACGGCTCATGAGCATGTGCTGCTGCGTTGACATCGAGTGTCTGCTCGCGTGCGCCTCGTTGTCGAGCATTTCCACGTACGAGCTGGGCCCGTGGTGAATGATGCGCACCACCGGCGTTACACCATCTTCATCCACGGAGAAGTTTACGTCGCATTCGAAGTTCTGCCCGGGGGCCTCCTCGCCAATGGCTGCATCCTGTCACAAAATGTAGATCAGTAAAGGCGAGGAATGTGATTTAAATGTGCAAATATCGATGTGTACTTGGGAATAAGGAAGAATTCAGTGCAAGCCAGCGACAATAATATTCGAGGAAAATCATAAAGAGGCTCCGTAAAATTTACCAGGGTAAAACCGTCTGAGCAATACCAGCGTTCCGCGAATTTTATTGATACGAAAAAAACTTAGCAGGATTAATTTGTGTACAACTGAATTTTACCTTGTATAACCTTGATATTCTGACTGTATTTGATCATAGGGGGATAAAATTTCAATGATAGCCTAACTGTGGGCAATATTATTAGGACAAAAGTTCTCTCAATGCAATACTGACAGACTCACACTACAGCTAGTCTAAAATGAGAGAATAATGCTGAAAGACTACGAGTACCATGAGACTCCGCACCACGACGACTCAGTTTCTTTGCCTAAACATAGAGCGAACCGGAACATAATAGGAATAGGTATACATAACACATGCCCCTGCTCCCATAATATGACAAGACACTGTCCTGTCATGCATCTCACTTATTTCTACTTTCTTTATCTGTCATCTTTACTTCCACCTCGCCATCGCCGAAGACAATAAGCCTTATCCCCCCTCCCTCTTTGGAAATTATTCGGTTAATGTTATCTCGACCTTGACTATTCTTGTCTTTTTCTAACCTCAGGTAGCTGCCCCATGGCGCAGGACGGCCTCCGGTGGGACGAAGGTGGTGCCGCAATGGCAACCGCGCTTCCATTCGTCAGCTCGTGTTCGGCCGCTGCCGGACCGCACATCCTGGTGTGCGACGTGCTCACCAATACGACCACGTCTGAGCCGCGCCTCGGCCCCTGTGTCAGCCTGGCCTGGCTCATGGCCGCTCACGATTCGGACCCCCTGGCGCTTCCAGGGACGGGGCGAAAGCCAGTGCCGTCCGCTTTCGGCCTCCTCGCTTGGGAGCCGACTCCACCGTCAAGCGAGGCGGAAGAAATTTTGAAAAGAGTGACGAATGGGCCCGCAGAATGCGGACAGTGGAGTGAAGCTTGTGATATGGGCAATGCCCACTGCCTGATGACAGGTCAGAGGTCACAAAATGACGTTAACACGCATGCGAAAAAAGGAATGAATTGCTGTCATGAAGTATGATGGCGTGTTCACAGAAATAAGCCGAAACGTTTGGAGGGAACATAAATTACCTTTTAAAAAGTGAGAGCAGAAAAGCAGAGAAAAGTGCAATTATTGCATCATTGCTTCGATGGGCGAGTTATTATCACACAAGTGCTCTAATACCTCAAATTGTGCAATATATCTCGTTTCGCAGCAACTGCCTACAAATTCCTCACCACAGAGTTTCGTGTGGACTTGAGGGCGATGTCTAGAACGTAACACCAATCTGTGGCAGTACTATTCATGCATTGCTTGTTTGGGAAAGTGGGGTAAAGCCATAGAGAAGGCTCTCACCTCAGCGAAAAGGTCAGCACATTATCATAACGGTAGCGAAAACCTTCTTGCATTATGATGAACATGATATTCTTACTACGTAGTGACATCGGCAACAGTAAGAAGGCAGGTTCACGACAAGTGTGTGATGTGACGGTGCGATGATGAACTCATCAAGAAATTTAAGTCAGTAAGGTTATTGTCCTTGTACTCGTCACTTAATACCAGCAAATGAGAACACAGACATGAATGCAAGACAAGAAAAACGAAGCGCTGTGTCTTCTTCGACTAGTGCGCCTTGCACAGTGTTTTTTTAATATAGAATATACACAAGTACAAAGCTTGGTTTGCCTATACCGCTTATTTTATAAGAAAGTAATTTTACTTGCTTGAATTACCTTTTAAACAAAGTTTTTGCGATTGTATTGATTCAGTTTTAACTGGCAGAGAATACATAAACAGGTAATGGGGTTTACTAACAAGCCATATAATGCCGCATGGTTTTCTGTAGGCACATACACAATTGTGCTCACGCAGTCGCTGATGTTCATTATTATTATTATTATTATTATTATTATTATTATTATTATTATTATTATTATTATTATTATTATTATTATTATGCGTTGGAAGCAACAGGTCTAGCATTTCATACAGCATGGTAAAGAAAGGCTTCAACTATATCAGTCAATGTACCGTAAATGTCAACGCGAGTTATGCCATCTGACTGCGACAAAAATGGTTATTTTTTGTGTTACTTTATCTGAAATGACCTCATCGAGGCATTCTTTTTGCAGCATTTCTACGTCATTTGCAAAAGTTACTACCATTTCACTTATCTGCCGGTATCTTTTCCAAGCCCTTGTAGTGTGTCAACGCCGCGTATAAAGAATCAAGATTCAGTCAGGGCTATTTTCGTCAAAAGTTTATAAACTAGCATATTCCTTCTATTGCGCTAGCAATCTCATAGACAGTCTTGGTTGGTTTTTGCCATTGCCATCACTGCAGCTGTCATTCACGTATATGTATAGCTGTGTATTATATACGGGGAAGGATGCGCTTGCCTCCTCTTTCTGCGGAGCGAACATCGTCCTTCCGGCCGGGGTTGTCTGCGCGCGCGCTGATCTCGTGAGGTAACAAGAAGGGGGGGGGGAAGCTCTTATGGCTGCAGCAACGACCAGCGGGCGCCTTGTGCCCCCACAGCAGTCGGGAGCTTCTACGGGATGCGCTGTGTGATTTTTTATAACTATCCTATAATTCATTATTTGTACATTTCTTATATGATCAATTTTTTATAGGTATACGTTTCTTGATCAATGTCCTTGAGTGGGTGTGAGCCATATGCAGACTATTATCATCAACATCATAATAATAATCATAAGGCCACGCTTCTCTGTGGCAGTGCGGCGTCAAGCTCAGGGCTCAGGCTCGGGGTGGGTATGACTGGGGGCCTCCCATTCGATATGAACCGTAACAGATGATGCCCGTCATGAACGCAATCGTCACCTTGCTTGTCATCACCGCGGCGACTCTGCCCTGTGCGCTTACTTTCGTCGACGTCCAAATGAAAGCTCTACTAGCGCCATGCGACAACAAGGCGTACGAACCGAAGGAAGTGCACAATGGTGTCACCAAATGTAAGAACAAAATACAAGTGACGCTACTTGTCAATAGCACTCCTGGGGTAAGTACTTCGTTATGGCGATCTTACTTGAACACCAAGTGTCTTTGTATATGCACGAGTCACAAGCTGTGAACGCTGATGAGTACATTCGTGAAAATTGGTTTTTATTCAGTGACGCTAAAGGAAACACTTTTTTAGTCAATGGCATTGCTCTGAACACCAGAGATCATTAGCAAGTTCCTTTTTGTATGAATGACCAATATAAATTCATTTCTTGAATGCCGACCAAACAAGATTGACAGGTAATTAGGTCAATGACAGCATATATATCATTAGTTGTGTTTAGTTGTGGTGCACTAGTTGTCACATTACCTTAGATTCAATAAAGTGCAGAAAAATTCCCTTTTTTCGTCTATGTAATCTCACTCCGTAACCGTCAAATTACACGTCTCTTCGATTTAATCAGTTTTGTCTATCGCGAAAACGAAGTCTTGCGAAACCTTAACATGCTTTTTTTATTCACGCCTTTGTAGCGTTGAGAGAGGGCTGTGTCAGTCTTGAGTAATACATCAATGATATCTCTACTTAAGTATTATTGAGCCTTTCTGGTACTGCCACGTTGGTAAATCACTACAGGTAATACCGTCCAAATTATTCAGATTGATAACATAACTTCAACAATACAACTAAATTACGATGTTAGAGTTATGAAAATATCTGAAATAAAACCGACTTTGACAATATGTGTACTTTTTCCTCATAGGGAAACATAGGAAAGGGACTACGTTCACTTAACCGAAGCTTACGAGCCGGAGCTGGAGAGAACGTCCCGCCTATTCAACACCATCGTGATTCGGCTTAGACAAGAGGAGTTGCTACTTGCCTACCCTATGAAATACGTGGCGGTGAGTTTAGACCTATACTAATATCTTTTCTTCAAAGCAACACGCGTAATACTACAATAATCATTTGGGACGTTAGACCCCAACAATTATTATCACTTTTATCCAACGAAAACACATCACTGTTATCAATGTAATCTCATTGTCAACACGGAATCCCATGAATCCCGCGAAATCATCATGCATGGGCAAGTTGACCATGCTATAAAGAACGTTATAACCAGCGTCAATGCTTGATGAACACAACAGAGCGCTGTAAAGTGTAGGGATCCATCGCATAGGATACAGAATGCTTAGGCTTGTTTAGGAATGTTTAAGAAACTAGATGGACCTGATGTGTGGCATTCTACTTTCAGTGCTATAGATATGGTTGCAAGAATAGTTGTAATGACCACCTTAACCTCGATTACGGCAAGGGCGTAGGCTACATGAACGCATACTGCCCAGTGGCACACCACATAAATATCTGCATTTCTTTACAAAGCTTTTTTAGCGCTTTCAAACGAAATTCTAAAGTTAAAACAAAACGAAAATACGGGAGTCAATGAACGAAGAAACGAGATACGGGAATGCGTGTCAATGTTTCTCACACAAAAACACAAGAACATGTATTATTAAACAAAAGGAAACCTCAACAATGAAGAAATTAATTATTTCTAACTATTGCTGTTTTGAAGCAATCGCATGTTTTCCCTTGTTAATTATTTTTGTTTCTAAATATTTTGTTCAATTCAGTTTATTTAAATTGGTGGATCAAAGTAGTTCCTCGGTTGCTTCATACGTTTAAGGCATTCTTCGTTTTGTTTCCGAAATACTGACTGAAGAATATGAAATGATCAGCTCATTAAAAAAAGTCCCGGTGAAAGATGAGCAAGCAGGGCACGCACATAAACAACCAAGTAGCAAGTGACCTCGAAGAGCAACGAAATATTACTAATATAAAATAGAGAATACACACAAAATATTCCTAATATTGCAATAAAGGGCAACTGCGTGATACTTGTACAGCATAAATGATTGTTAAGGCGTTCGCTCAGGTTTTCCCATGCGTTCATCTTCTGGCAGAATGTCAACGGAAAAGTCACAGAGAAGGTCGTGGTACATGATTCATGTGACTTGACCGTTTGCGCCGGATACGTAGAGCAGAAGATGGCTCCTAAGGTAAGCGAATATAATATGATGCTTCGTGCTATAAGATATATGATGCAAAATATGCCATTTTAGGGTTACTGCTGCGGCTGCGATGATGACCAAAATTGTACCATTCACTGCTTACAGTACAGCCCCGTTTGGTGAGTAGCTGGATAATACTTTTTTGCCCCGTGCAAAAAAAAAGTATCCTAATTTATTTGTGAGCATCTATCACTGAAAAACAAAAAGATTGAGTACTTGCTTAAGGAGCAGCTTTGAAAGTATTTGAAAACATTTTCCTAAGTATTCTCTGACAGTTGGAAGGGCAAACTCCAGTAAGGTACTCCCTATAAGAACATGCATGTATTTGGCGTTTACATGGCATTAAACCACAGCCTTCGAGAAAGCAGTGTCTCGAGGTGCTATTCGTTTCTTTCTGCCACTCTTTGAAAGACGCAAAATCTTCATCTAAATCTTGCCGGACGTTCTGCGCCATACGCACGCACAAGCTGGGGTAAACTGATCTACAAAAAATAGGCAAAGTGTGCGGGAACAAAAATTCATCTGCAGACAACCCTCAGACTCCAAATTACGTTTGGTGGTTGGTGTCCCTGCTCCTCAAACTTCCCCACCAGAGAAAATTATGACGCTATATGATTGGAAGCATTTGTCCGGCGTTCTTACACCATGTTGTTGCCCAATTAAACGTCCCCTTTATTGTTAGAACGAAATTTCATTAACATTTCATCATTTATGAGATGTTCTTTTCGTTGCAATTTCAATTGTAGGCCAGAAATTATTTTTTGAAGTCGTAAGTCTATCAGCTCTTGCATTCATGCTACAGCTTGGTTATGAAAGTGCGTTTTTTACGTTAATGAGGTATACCGAAAATTTTTCCTTTAGAATGTGCGATGAAATGGTTTTTGTGAATAACTATTCACTTTCTTTTATCTGATGAATAAAGCTGATTTTAATATTGAAGCACAACGTGGTGTGAGTTGTGTTTAAATGTGGAACCAAAGCATGACTTTTTTATATTTATTATTTTTTCTCGTCATAATATTGAAGTTGAGTGCTCTTGAAATGTTAATGATGCAACAACTGATGCTGTTCGCACATTATTGTTTATTACTTTGACATACATACAGAGATTACTATTACAACGGGAAAAATTGGCATATCTCACTTACAGTGGGAATCGAAGATAAGCGAAGCATGAATGAGACAGGTTTATATGTCCCTTTAAAATCAGCGCAAAGTTACGAAGTGGAGATAAATGATGCCGTACATTACTTCCGTGTCATGACTATCATGTTTGGATGTGTCGTTTACCTTCGTCATCTATTCACAACATGTGAAACCAAATGTAGTATATATTAGTGGAGCTAGCGAAACGACCGCGATTAGAGCAGTATGTTGCCATGTTTTTACATGACACGCATGTCAGGATTACCATGTTTACACCAGTCATACATTTTGTCATCCAATGACATTACCATGTTTACACCAGTCATACATTTTGTCATCCAATGACGTCACGTAACAACAAATTTCGTTTACGTGGAGCTAGCCAAACGGCAGCGAGCACATCATGAACGGCCCATTGTACTCAAATGTAGCGTTGACCCACACGCACACTGGGCAGGACGACGCTACGTTAGCAAAACGCGAGCACTCTATACTCTGACGGCAGGCGCGACCGGCGTGACCCGACGGCAACCGGGGCAAAATGCGACCTGCTGCATTTCGTGCTGATGCATTACCCAGACAACACTGCGTCTCCCTCTTTCTGTGATGGCGCTATGCCAGACGCGCCCAAACGCGCATGCGAAAAAGCAACGCATCACGGCGTATGCCTGCGAGTATATCGCAGGACTGGCGCCTGGCGCGGCAACGCCGGCGTGACGCGACCAAATGAACGCCGGCGAGCACGCGCACCGTGTCACGTCGACGCGTATTGGCGCCTTGACTGTGGCATTAGGTCACGTTCTCACATGACACGCATCTCATGATTATCATGTTTGCACCAGTCACACACCTCTGTCATTCATTGACGCTTCGTAATACCAAATCGGGCATGTGTGAAGCTATCAAAACGGTCATGAACGCATGATGAGTGTGGCATGTAGTCATGTTGTTACTTGACACGCATGTCGTGATTGTCATGTTGGCACCAGTATCATACATTAGTCATTCATTCACATAGTGTAATACCAAATTTGATATATTTGATGCTAGCGAAACTGCCGCGAGCGCATCATGAGCGTAGCATGTAGTCATGTTGTTACATGACACACATGTCATGCTTTTCATGTTTGGGTCTGTCGCTTGTTTTTGCCATGCAATTATGACAAACCAGACTAGTTTTGTAACATGTCATGTGAACGAAAGCACTGCAAGAGCTGCAGGATTATAAAATGTAAATCATGGCATTCATGACATACATGTCATGATTTTCATGTTATGACTAGTGAAGTATGTTCTTCATACAGTCATGTAATGCCATACCAAGTTTGGTATTGATACCATTATTGAAACGGCCAGGAGAGCTAAAAGTCGTAGGTGGCTAGATAGATAGATAGATAGATAGATAGATAGATAGATAGATAGATAGATAGATAGATAGATAGATAGATAGATAGATAGATAGATAGATAGATAGATAGATAGATAGATAGATAGATAGATAGATAGATAGATAGATAGATAGATAGATAGATAGATAGATAGATAGATAGATAGATAGATAGATAGATAGATAGATAGATAGATAGATAGAATAGATAGATAGATAGATAGATAGATAGATAGATAGATAGATAGATAGATAGATAGATAGATAGATAGATAGATAGATAGATAGATAGATAGATAGATAGATAGATAGATAGATAGATAGATAGATAGATAGATACGCTCAATGTCGCCGAAGTTCGCTGAGAAATGCTTCCCATTTTAAAGCAAGCTAGGCACCCTGCGAAATTTTTAAAGAATATGGCAGACAAATTGCAGGAATACTATTGGTCTTCGAATACCCCTCAAGAACGACTGAGCTGTTTATGTACCCCAAATTTAGTAGTATTTAAACGATAAACAAAATTCATAGAATCTCCCACTTGGCCTTTTCTTTCATTTTTTCGCATTTTTTTCTAGCAATAGAGAGTTTTCAACGCACTATATGACAATTTTTCTTCAAGTACATTTCAGATGTTCGCGAAATGACTGAGTCACTTCGATGTGGATGAGAAATGGCCGTGATCTGGTGGAGAATCTATATACTTGTTAATCTGTGAATACTGCTATTCTGTGTAGGGGATTATAGCAGGCTGGAAATTAGAGTCATGAATATTTTAAGGCAAACATGAGTCTGAGCACGAATAAAGATATGGCTTCAAAATACAGCTCTCAGAATCGAAAATAAAAAAAAAAATGGAATGACTGATACATTGTTAAGGAATGCAGACGATATTTAACCTAAGATATGCACCCTATAAGATCTCCAGTTTTGGCAAATGCGTCAGTAGAGCGTCCATCTGCACCGTATGTATAAAAATTGTCGCGCCTTTTCATCGCCATGTCATTACGATATAGACGCTAATGGGCCCGATATTCAGTTTGTGTTTAGGAGCATACGTATGTCATGGTAATGGCACTGACAGGCCAAACGATTCCTTGATATGAGGACACATTCACTATAATTATAACATGCATTCGAACCTTTACAAGGTATACCATGTCTCTCCTTGGACCCCCCATCATCAAGCAAGAAATGTATGTGGAACTGTTCGTCCAGAGGGACCGCGCCAGGCTACCGGAGCGATGGCGCACTTTCTCGGAATACCCAGAGGAACTAATGCTGAGTGCCGATCACCCTGAAGACGTCAACAGCGAGAAGACGGTAATGATGCTGTAGTTTTTGCGCAAATGGCCATCGTAATTTGAAAGGTTATACGTTAGTTTCTTTATGAACCAAAGTCAAGATACTGTCTGAAATGAAATAAAAAAATTAGAGCAACATCCCGAAAAAAAAAACCATGGGGAGAGGCGGAGCATCGCGGGGAGTTACAGCGGTGTTTTAATGGCGGTGTTCAATAGTTCGCGGTGTTATATTTGCTGCAAACCTTACGCGTTATGACGTTGTTAACTTGGTTTGTTACCACTTATCGCGTGAACGTTGGGTTGAAAACACCCGCGATGCTCCACATCACCCCATGGTCCCCTTCAGGGCGATGTTGTAATTTTAGTTAACGCGCACGCTTCGAATTTTTATTGTTCAACAACGCTCAGGAGAAATCACCCACCGTCATTACCCTAGAGATGAGTATCCAGTGTTTATTTGTCAGTTCCAGGTACCGTGGCACCTCTGAGCGATGGTGGCCGGAAGCTCTGTTGGGATGATTGAATTATTAGACCTGCTTCAAACAGCAAATGCGGCTGCTTGTTTCGCTGCGCTTGTGCTCGTTTTTCAACGTTTTGAACAGCCTTGATATCACCCGAACCCTATTATTTTTCTCAAGTTAAATGGAAAGTAGAAAGAAAAAGAGAAAAAGTCGACTGCATGAATTAACTGCTAACCTCGATACTCACAGCCAATGCCTCTCAGCGATGTAAGCCTCCCGTTCAAACTAGCGCACCAAAATGCTATGAGTGATTAGGAGGGTCAAATTTAGCAGGCAAATAACCGAGACGCGTGAACCCATGCAGCACCCATTTTGTGTACGAGTACAGCAACTTCCAGGTTTGCAGTTTTTCGCGCTGAGTATGTCTGCTCGACACGGTCGCTGTGCAAGCAGTACCAGAACTAAATTAAGAATGCGTTTCACCTCACCTCCAGAATTGAATGTAAAGAATTGGTTTCAAAACGTTCATTGCATTATTAGACATCTGAGGCGTCTGCGAAGTGGCTCAGTGACCTGTCCATCTGTAGCAATTTTTGTTTCGCCCTTTCTAGCTGATGGTGCTTTTTTTGTCGCTTCTGCCCGGCACTATGCTCTCTTTGTTTACTACTCCTAAGCCGAAACATAGAATAGTAGCGAGTAGCGGGAATGTCACCTCTTAAACGTGAAAGTTGCATATTACCACTGGTCTCGTTCACTGCTTGCCGACTTATTCATTTTTTTAATATTCTGTTGTTGTTGTTGTTGTTTGCTATCAAATAAGCGCCCTAAAATCTTATTGCTGGTAGTATGAGATGCCTGAGTTGGTACTGGTGATTCAGTATTAAAAAACCTTTTTTTTTTTGGTCTGCTTATTCTACTTCAGGAGTTTTGATAAGCTGAACAAGCTTCACGCAAAACGAAATGCAGGCAAAACTTTAACGCGTTGGATCCAACCGTTGAATTCAAAACGCGGTGGATCCAAAATGCGTTGGATTTAAAATGCGTTGGGTCCAATCGTTGAATCACCGGATAAATTTCGAAGCGATGGCCATCCTTGAAAGCGAGCCGAACTGGAGGAGTAGGTTATTACTCCAGTCGTGCCTCATACAGAGGACAGCCCATAACATCAACCGTTCTTTTGGAACCCTTCCCCCAGTGTATACACATGGACGGCACTCCATGGCAAAACGAGAAAGAGAGAGAGAGAGAGGGAGGGGTCATTATTCGCCTCGCGAGTGCTTTAAAGAGGCCGCTGCTACGTAGCCTCGAAGTCACCCCTGAGGAAGGAACCAAGTCGGTTTCGAAATGTCGGGTTTCTTCAAAACTTTTGGTTGGAGTGTAAATCATTCCCCGGTTTCATGCCCAACCAGACAGACTTCCGTCGAATGTTTACATTCATATAGAATCATTGAACCAGTGCAGCAAGCATGACATACATATCTTAAAAGTTACAATGGTGCGTGTCCTTAAAGTAGAAGGTAGTTTGCTATTGGAGATAGATCGAAGCATTTGAACTGTACTAAACAGCTGTGTGTACAATGGCATTATTACCTTATTTTTCATCTCTGCGTCTTGGTTTGCGGCAGTGTGCGGGCGAACATCGCTTTGAAAAACTTAGCTCCACTATACCGGAAATTAAAGCACATCTTTACGTATATACACACGAGGACCCCGTCATGACTAATAAATGTTAGTAGTGTGCCTATCAGCTACAACATAACCGCGCTAATTTTGACCAAACAATCATAATTAGCCAGTATATATTTTTCTTTTTCGCTTTATATTCAGAGCCCCACGCGCTTTGATAAAGTGGGTTGAAAAATCTCTTGAACAAAATTTTCATTTCTGCAACAATTTTGTGTGCTTGAAAATCTCCAGTAGAAATAATTTCGGGGGGGGGGGGGGGCTCCAACAAGAAATATTGCGTGCACGCCGTCAGACGTGTCACACACAATTTATTGTTGCGTGTTCACGGTATAACACTGTGGTGAAGAGAGGACAAATAATCTGACACATTGCTCAGTTGCCTTTCTCACAGAACGGCTTCATTTGCTTACGTTTTTCGTGGTTTTCGCTGTAGCCAACACCCTCCAGTTAGAAAAAAAAATTCGAACCTATGTGGAAGGTTTTGTAATGAAAACCTTTGATCTTTAGCGCCTTTTGCATTGAAAGCAAATATGCATATATATCACCCATTCTTGATAGCTCGCAAACCTATTGAGCATGTCTGCAGACGCCTTGAGCGCCAAATGAGTAAGGGTAGTAATGCAGCAGTTTGGTTGGATTACGTTCACTCTGCGTGATGATTCATATTTGGCCTGAATCTTTGGTGATGTCGGCTAAGTTGGTAAACGCGATTGTGAATGACGAGCGAATTGAGAAAGAGGGCTTCTTCATCTCCAGAGCAAGGACGAGAGATTGTGTCATTTTAAAGCTACTTAGAAAAAAAACCTCTCCTTTAGGTCTTGCGTCAAACTTATTCTATCACGAGTGACTGTACTTGTTAGTCTGGTTGTATTAATGGCAGGTGATTTCGTCCACTCAACGCAGGTCTCGGCGAGTTTTTGTCCGAAAAGGCAGCAGAGTCGGCGTTTGTGCTGAAGGACTACCGGAAGTTGCGCGTTCTTGTGCCCTTCCCGCCAGTAGGAGTCCCTGTCGAAAATTTTGCATCTATTTACACTGTGAGCATTGCTTATGCAGTTTTCTACAAATTAATGGTTCGTTTCTACGGCAGATTCGTGGCAATAATACGTAAAAGGTTTGTTTCTAGAGCATATTCTTGGCAATTTCTTAAGAGAATACAGATTAACTGACTGATAAAGCCGTAAACTTGTAATGAATCAGTGGCTGAAAGAATATAGTTCAGGTCTTTAGATGTACAGTGTTTTGTGAAATTTCCCCTGACCACGGTACTAGAGGAACACATGAGTTGTTTGCCTGAAAATGTTTGATCAGCCCTGTACATTGTCGAGAAAACATACTGCACCCACACAGGCTTCCATTAGGGAACTAAATATTTTGCCTTCTGAGCTTCAATTATGTTATTTATGGCTAAATTCGCGAATTCTGAACTTCATGAATCGCATCCGCTTTGGCTACCACTAGTTTATTCTATATACACACCACCGCTTACGAATGAGGAAGCGTATCTCATACGCCGTTCGAAGGAAACTTCGTTACCATGACAATTTCGACCGAACGTCGTGTTTTCTTTGGGAGGCAGAAAAAATTGATTCTAACTTACTTCGGACAGGCTAAAGTATGCCATCACTCAAGTTCTGCATAAGTCTTTTCAAAAATCATCGAAGATGTGTCTGTTTTGAAGATCAAATTTTCTTGATATACCATTTAATTCGTAACTATATGGCTAAGTCCCGCCATATTTTAGATCATTAGCAGGGAACCATATCGCTTCGCTACTATATGCTGTCGTATATGAATGTTTTAGTGCGAAACACACCGGAACGTTGAGTTGCAGAGGTTGCGTAATTGATGCTGGCTGGTACGATCCTGGTGGTTCATCTGTACGAGCAGAGTGAATAGAACGCTGTTTTATTTGTGCTCATTGCAGAAGGGGTCGGACAGTATAATGCTTATTCCGAGCAACTTGACAAAGCCTGCTGACGTCATGGAGTGCATAAACAAATCTTTGGCCAACGCAACGAAGCACTGCCATCCACAGCATCAAAAGTAAGCGTACAGGAACAGGAAAGCAACGCTAATAACCAATAAAAAAGTATAGTACCGACGTTCATTTTTGTTAAAATAAATATTATAGAAAGAGGTACGGTGGAGATAGCTGCGCTTACCTGGGCATTTTAAAGTATAAAGATCGACAGACAAAGTCGTCAACTTAGGCAGTTTCATATCAAGTGGGTTAGAATGTGTAATATTTCCTCTTTACACCTTACTGCATAACATACCAGCCAAAAGCATTTGTTACATATAACGAAAGCATGAACAAGGGGGATAGTGGACGTCATTCATTCCTTAATATACCCACTTACCACGAAACTTTGATTGTACGGGATAATTTGGAGACGTCGTGTTTCGACCATGTTCGCTTTTCCTGCATTGTTCAATTTTATGGGCTTTATTGTGAAGTATCAAGTGCATGCGTCTGTCACTTTTGTCGGCTCATTTATATGCTAATTTATGTGACTGTTGTTAACGAATGTTAACGTAGTACAACAGGCACAGTAGCCTTGTGGCAAAAACATGACATGTTTTACGCTTAGCGTGTATCGAGGCTAGCATATACGCTCAATAAGCATTCATACGCTGTGCGAATGCAGATCTAAGCGTATAACGTCGTGTTTACAATAGGTATAGCTACAAGTTGTGCCTGCTCAGCTATTCCGTTTTCGTGGTGCACATCCAGTCCGGATCATAGCAAACGTTGGCAACGGCGTCAGTTCGCGCACTCAGTGTCAGCTTTCGATTACCGGGAGGGCCTCGTTTGCTCATGCATATGCCTTCTGTATGACAAGTTCATTTATTAGGTGGAAGAGCCAGGTAATCTGAGTGACGGGAACACAATCATTATGTGATGTCCATTATTCCGAAGGTAACACGATAAGGCGCTTACTTGCTCGTATGTCCCAGAAACAACCTTTATTTATTTACAAATACCTCACAGGCTCCACGTAGCAGTGTTATGTAGGGAGGTTATAGTCATAGGCAAAAAACATATGAATAATACATGTTCTTTTTGTGCTTTACAGGTGTCTCGAGGGCGAGCCTTATGATATTTTCCTCGACGAAGAGGTGAGGCATGTCACCTTGTAAGATAAGTAGAATATTGAGGCGATAAAAAATGTCCTATATTCCCGAATTGTTTTCCGCACAATCTTTTTTTCTATATCGCGAGAGAACTTGTCATTGCTGTTCCATTGAAAAAAAAAGGAACACACTATGGTGTGCGTCACGCGTTTTGGCGGAGATAATTATACTTGCGTTTCTCTCGAGACAGTATGACAAGAATAAATGAGTTCGACGCGAGAAAGCTACCATGATCCTAAATTTAGGGGTCGATAAACAAGCACGTATGCAGGTATGTATTGTTCAGCGTTGTAAGCCGTGTGACAAACCACGCTGTCTCTCAATTATTCATTTTTGTTCCAGAAAGAAGCAAAAAATAATATTATAAACACGAAATTTGTGACACAAGCCTTTGTTGAGACATTTCGTTATTTACTTATTCATCGGCAATGTGTGATTTTTTAATATAATACTGAACGGCGAAAATTTCGAACATAGTTAGTTGAGTACCAAGAGTGCCTAAAGGACGGGGACACAGCAAGCACACAATGCGAGTGCTCGTTTGTAGCATGTCACTTTACCGTAACTGTTCCACATCAGCAAGGCCAAACATCACGATTGGTGAAGTAGAAACAACTGCATGGCTGTTATCGATTTGCAAATGTTTCTGAGAATGTACAAAAACGTCATATTTTAGATGATAACTTGATTCAATTAGCATGCTTGTTAACATGTACATACATGTCAGGCTCTGTGGCGTTATTGGATGCGAGAGTTTGCTTTTAGGTATAAAGATAACTTGCCAGTATTTTATATCGTATTCCTCTATGCGAACGACAGTGATTTTTTCTTGTGTAAGTATTGAGTGCATACGTAGCGGTTGCTTCCCAATGGTTTTTCTAAGATGTTGTCAGGGCTTAAAATCAAAAGAGTGTATTTTTTATTGAAAATGTGTGTGTCTGCTCACGTCAATGTATTGTAGAAAGCTTGATTTCGGCGCTTTCTTCTCATAAATATTTTTTAGATATGTCACAATAATTCAGCATCAATCACCCCGATGATGTAGTGGCTAAGGCAAATTTTCGTTCTCGACTACCAACCGAAAGGTCTTGGGGTCGAATGCCGGTGAAAATAGCCGCACTCAGATGCAGGGGAAATACCATTGATGTAGGTGAAATGACGAGTTGATCGGCGTAACACGGTAGAGGCGAGGCCGTTGCCCTGCAGTGGGCAAAGTTTGGCTGCTGTTGCCGCAATAGTTGATGATGCTGATAATGATGATGATGATGATGATGATGATGATGATGATGATGAAATGTTAGTGGCGGCAGCGCTTACCTTTCAGGTGTCTTCAACAACGGCGTTACCCGAAAGTTAGATGACATGACTTTCAGGCGTCTTCTCCTACGGAGTCTCTCGTATTATCATGAATATGAAAGGTAAAGCCACGACAATGGCTAAGAAAACCTGATGTAGAATACAATAGAGAAAAATTGGCAGCTCAATGAATTGCTGCTGAGCTCAGGCACTACTCAATCAGGCAAAATTTAAGAGCCAGAACAAACACATTTCATGTTTTTGGAATATCTCAAGAAAAAGATGTCAACCATGTGCATCAAACAGATCACGTAAGTACGGCTGTAAAAATGGCTGCTTTATACGCACCTCTGAGTTTTCCAGAGAAATTATAAGTTGAAGGTTGTGCAAATTGTTACTAATTGTTGCTAAGGTTGCCGCGCTGATGCGCTGGATGAAAAATCATACTACCGCACCGTCCAATCGTTGCTCGTTCGAATAGACCATTAGGGCCGTGGTGTAGACGTTCGGTTTTCTTGATGATTTGTTTGCTAGAACAGTGAATTTGTTTGGGAAAACCACCAGGCCTGCTCGAAATGTACATCAGTCACAGAGAAACCTAGAACAGCTGCCTTTCAAAGTTCTTTTTTACACGAAAGTGTTTTATGCCGGGGTTCATCACGGCTCCGCTGACGTGTTTCCTTCATGTAAGCGGCGTTGAAAACAATGTACTGAGATATTGGAAAGAAAAAAACCCAGGAGGCAAAGATTTATCCTATGGCATCGAAGAAGCAACCTCTCGATTCACAGCGTGTGGCGCCAACCACTACGCCACGGAGCGTATATTGCCGCGAGTGCTAACGGAAAGTCGTTTATATACTTCATACACTCTTTGACAGTCCTCAGAGCTTCGAAAATTTAGCTTGTTTTCTTTATCAGTGGCGAGATGGTGCGACGAGATCCAACTGGGCGCGTTCCAAGGGTCACCGCCTCCACAAATCGCCAGAAAGCGTGATCTCTCTTGCGCCTGCACTTGTCAGACTCGTAATTTGGGAGATGACGAAGGTCACTTTCACGGGGCCGTGGCTGCGTTTACGAAAACAGCACGCTGCCACACACGTCGCAGGAACAATTGTGACAGTTATTCGCGTTTGTCCCGTGTATACTTGTGCGCTCGTTTCGTGCGCTTTTCTTTATGTTCGAACAGCGCGCTTTATGTTTCGAGCTTTGACAGTTGTTAGACCGCACCCGTGCTTTGTATGCTAATTCTTTGCGTGCTTTTTCCTTGAGGTGTGTGCTGCTTTGAGCTGCTTGCCGTTCCTAATGTGACTTAGCGATTTGTTGCTGAAACACTGCGCAATAAACGCTCGACTACCTCTCTAAGAACACGTTTCACTTACATGTTATACCGACTCCTACATAAGGCCATCAGCCTCCTTTTTTTTTTCATTCTTTAGGTAACCGCTACAAGCGCACTTACATGGTACTTACTCACTACGTCATCAATCTTTATCGTTTCAACGAAATAGTGTTAACAAGCTCGTTTCTGAGATATTGCGGCGTCGGCATTGGCGTCGTTGGTTGTGAGCAAAAAATATTATTTTCATGAGTGAAAAATTAAGAGAAATGCAAATAGCGTAAAAAATAAACAAAGTTTTGCGTCTGAGTGGTGATCGAATCCGGTTAGCTTGCATGGCAAGAGGCTGTGCTGTCACAAAGCGATGCCTGTGCTGCGGAATACAGTGAAAATACCTTCCTCTGCTTGCAAATGCAGTGGAAGTAACTAATGCTTTACACACCCCCTCGTCCTGTAAACATGCTTCATTATACAACATGAAATATTGCCGTAATAACGTGTTGCGGAAACATACATTGCCATCAGGCGTCAAAACTTAAAATTATGTTAATGACTTTGTATTTTAATGAAGGCGCAAATGTTGTAGGCCCATGTGCTCAGATTTGAGTGCACGTTAAAGAACCCTAAGTGGTCGAAATTTCCAGAGCCCTCCACTACGGCGTCTCCCATAATCATATAGTGGTTTTGGGACGTTACACCCCACATACCAATCAATCAACTTTATAATTTAAAGCAAGTCAGCCACTACAAAAGGCGCACACGCTACTGCACCAATAGAGCCACGTATAGTGGTTGCATAGCAAGTTCGGAAAGATTTGGTAAACTAAGTGTTTGAAGTACGCACTAAGACCAGGATGTCGCTGTCGAGTTCAAATAATAAAGTCAAACCTTAAGGCTCGCCCAAATTTAGCATTTTAGTGTATAAGGAAGGCATTCACAATTGCATCCTTTGTCATTCTTCGAAAAAACGTGATACCCATAACACACTTGTAAGGAATTTCGTTCTTTTTTTTATGCTGGGGGTGACAAAAATGAAGAATTATGCCTTAAACTTTTAAAATAGAATGAAGCATTTGATGACCGACTTGATACGCAATTCGCATTGTGTGACGCTTGGATGTTAATTCGCTTTTATAAAACGATTTATTACTCACATTACCGCAACCGACATAAAGCCTGCCTAAGGCCTGTTTGCAACGTAGTTTAAAGCTTTGTCTTGGCTCTTCAGTGTAATACTGAGCTCCCATGCAGGGGACCCGGGTTCAAATCTCATTCAGTTCTTAGTGTTCTATATTTACTCAGTTTTTTTTTATTTCGCGCAAATATTGTTATGGACACCGGTGGTGGTAGGCGCCGGAGGACAATTGTTGTGATCTCATAGCAGCTTTCCCTGCAAATTGGAGAATTCGAGAACATATACCTGGAAATGCATTTACAACATTGACTAGAGTGTAAGCGTTTCCCATTTTTATTCCTCTTTTGCAGCGAAAATCGGCATCCGGTGAGGGTCCTTCACCGCTCCTGCTGAGCTACTTCAAGGATAAGCTACCAGAATCGCCCATTCTCTTCAACGAGACAACTGGTGAAGGGTTTCTCAGTTTTATCTACGAGCACCCGCATCTGAGCCTCATTCTTCTCGAGATCAACGCTGATGATATAGTCCTACTCAGACAAGGGTACTCATTTTGACTCCAAATAGATTTGCTGGCTGGCGTAGTCATGTCGACAACACCCCAACAGCCTATGTGTAAAAACTCCCCAATTTTTGAATGTGTGCTTTTCTTCACAGCATATATTTTTAATTTGTTTTTACGAAAGTAGCCCTAAAGTTAATGCCGATCTCCAGTGTGCTTTCCTGTTTATAACATTTCTAGGCGAATACACGCCCAATTCCCCCGGCCTCATGCCAAAACGCTGTAATTTGTTATTCGCGCTTCAGAAAACATGTTACATTACATGCGTGCGACACATGCAGAGATGTTCACAATTTAGATATCGTAGGTCAGATGTCACTGTTCGGAGTGGCATGGATAAAAGATGGTAGTAGGTGTGATTTAACAGATACTACTAGGTAAGACTGCACTTCGTTACCCTTGATGTAGGGTTGCACAAAGTGTTTCTTTTTCTAAGAGTGTCATTTAGACTTCGTGCAGCTGTCAGCAACGCCTCATGAGTGCTGGCTAATCAGTAAGCAACAGAAAAAATCAATTGTATGGTACTTTCTGGCCCTCTTTCTTTGCATGCATTAGCACAAAAGGCCGGATCAACGTGGTGTCGGCTCACAGTAGCGACTCCGGTTCCTTGGTTCGCATCGAGGTGACAAACCTAGGCGAGCTGGCCACCATCTTCAGTGCACAAGTTACCCAGTGTAGTCATGGTGTGGCCAACAGCGACACTGACGCGGGCCTGGTAACGCCGCAGAGAACTCTACTTCTCCTCACGTCTGTGCACTTTGGTGCTCTTGATATACGCGATGACCTTAAATGCATGGGTAGGCATACATTTATAATGTACACCGAATTATAGATTTGGCAGCGATGCCATACTAGTGCTGTTTCGATAGCCTATCCTTCGCAGAGTTACCCGGAATGCATCTCGTGTGTGGCATAACTTAATCTGTGTTCAGTGGATTATTTCACGGAGTATGTTCATTCAGTTATGAAGTCCAATAAAATGTCATGCTCACCGGAGAGGACGACTAGTCCTGATACGGCCAGTAGGCCTTGAGTCCTTCAGCAGTTTAATCACGTGCAACCTAGCAGCGATGGCATCTTCACATCTCGATAAATACATATGTGTACAGCATATTATGTATTTAATGTAATATTACTTTAATTTATGTTATTTTTAATGGCCATGTACTTTTAGGCCGCAATTTTCTGGTAATTTGTCTTAGCAATCCATGCGATTTTCGTTTATTTGTATTGAACGAATAAACATTAAACCATCGGTAAGCTGGAATAAATACCTGGTAATATGGCACTGGTACCATGTTAAGTCGTGCCCATAACATTACAAGTAGCTGACCCTGCCGCGGTGGTCTAGTGGCTAAGGTACTCGGCTGCTCACCTGCTGGCCGCGGCATCTAAACACAGCTGTGGCGGCTTTATTTTTTATGGAGGCGCAAAATGCTGTAGACCCGTGTGCTCAGACTTGGGTGCACATTAAAGAACCCCGCGCGGTCAAAATTTGAGTAGCCCTTCACTACGGCGTCTTCCATAATCTTGTCGTGGTTTTGAGACTTAAACTCCACGCATCAACCAATTGTTACGGTAGTTTTTAGCATCAAACAAAGACGAGAGACAGACAAGCGCGAACCATGAACTGATTTTATTCGAAAGGCACACACACACACACACACACACATATATATATATATATATACATATATATATATATATATATATATATATATATATATATATATATATATATATATATATATATATATATATATATATATATATATATATATATATATATGTTTACGTAAATAAATTCACAGTTACGAGTCATAGTAGCGAAAAATAAATTCTATTAGTTACAGGTGCTCAAGTAATCTAACCCAGTGGCATGCGACGAGATACAAGGCTTCGCCAGCATGTCTCGCCTGATCTGCCAATAAAATACGCTTCCTCAATTTCTCGTGCAACCTTCTCTTGTGATATCGAGAGCAGCTTAGGTTCTCAGAGCAAGGGTGCACTTACTGCACTGCACAACTCACTCTGCACATCTGCACTTACTGCAATGTAAAGAAAGATTAGAACAAGATGTCTTTCTTAATGAAGCCTTATGATGTGATAATCTATTACTTAATCACAAATTCTGCTGGCCAACATAGAATTTTTCACAAGGTAATGGTATATATTATACTAACTTTTTACCACACTCGACTGAAAAATATTATGGTAGAATATATGCTTGCCGTGCAGTAGGTCATGGCTCGATTCTGACTTAAGCCGAACATGCTTTTAATAATATTTATTGTTATAAATCTCATGTTTTCTCTCAAGGACTACGCCGATTTCTCCCTCGCTACCATCGATGCCGCCGCCGCCAGCCTTTCACAGAAACTAGTCTTTTAACGCTGTGTCACCCCGAAGGACGCTTCCGTAAACATACAGTGGTTTAATAATACTTCGTCATTCTTTGACTACTTCTTCCTCCTCTTCACTTGCTTCGCCATTACTATACATGTCACAAGAGGTGACATGCCTGAAGCAAGAAGAAATGTCTCTCACTACGCTATCGAGTCAATAAGAGGTTTGTTGTGTATTGACTTGGTGAGACCTGGCGCATTGTACCTGTGCACATAGGTATGGTGAAATGAACCAATACTACCAAAGTTGGCCAAAAAGAGAGCTCACAAAGTAGGTCAATGCGTTAAGCGCGAAAGCAATATTGTGCTTTATTCCATTCAGATGAGTGCGAATGTTCTCAGTAAACACGTATTCTCCGCATGATTCAAGCACAAACTTTCTATTCACAGTGGAACTCCACGATTCCGAGTATGGAATGATTGCGTCACGATCCGTGATCCTGAGGCCTGGCAAACAGTGCATCTGCTACCTCTCCTGCGAATGCAGCGTCAGTACCCATTTTGTCTCTTAGATCACGTCCCCAGACTCTGTATTTCGCGGTGGCGAAACAGCCCAGACTGTCAGAAAAGTGAAGCACGACAATGGACTGGTTCTATTGTTTGTCCCAGCGTCTGCACAGTCTCACTTTCAATCAAAGTAATTCTGCTCTACAGCTAAGCACTATACTCGCATGCAGCCTTCGTAATGTAATTTAGTTGAAGTTATATATACGTTAAAGCCACGATGACTGAGAAATTACACATATTTGCTACTTTTTTATATCTTGGTTTTTAATATGGCAGGGCGTTTGAGTTCATCAATAATAATAAATTGACCTCCAATGTTAGCCTTTAGAGCCAGCAGAAGAAGTGAATGATGATGAGTGGAGTGAAGCGTCTGTCCGTCTATGCATCCGTTCATGCGTTCGTCTATCCGTGTGTCCGTACGTTGGTCTCTATGTCTGGCCGTCCACCCTTCCGTCCATATAGTGAACACTTGAGGTACCGCCATCTTGCATCTTTTCATCATTTATTCATTATATACAAGCGCCCCGCCGCGGTGGTCTAGCGGCCAAGGTACTCGCCTGCTGACCCGCAGGTCGCGGGATCAAATCCCGGCTGCGGCGGCTGCATTTCCGATGGAGGCAGAAATGTTGTAGCCCGTGTGCTCAGATTTGGATGCATGTTAAAGAACCCCAGGTGGTCAAAACTTCCGGAGCCCTCCACTACGGCGTCTTTCATAATCATAAGGTGGTTTTGGGACGTTAAACCCCAGAAATCAATCAATCAATCAATCAATCAATCAATCATTATATACAAGTAACACCACCAAGCGAACATTCTAAACAAGATGTTGCTACTACAACTCGGCACATACTGCCCACGGCGTAAGGAGCTTCACCTCTAAAATAAATAATTAGATTATGAAACACGCCGTAACTGTTGGCTACAGTTCAAATGAGGAGGGCAGCTTATTGTGTTTTCAAATCAGAAAACAGCGCGGACGCAGCCAACGGACCAGGTACCACGCAAAGGCAGGCGCTGCCTTCTAACTGTGGATTCATGGACACACACACACTCACGCACACGCGCACGCACGCGGGCACACACACACACACACACACACACGCACACGCACGCACACACACACACACACACACACACAAACACACACACACAAGCGCGTGCACATACGCACACGCACACACATACGCACACACACACGCGCACACGCACGCACGCACGCACACACATAAGCACACAAACATACGTGCACGCACACACATAAGCACACGCACATACGTGCACACACACACACACGCAAACAGGTACAAACACTAGCATGCGCCTAATTCACAACAACCAGCCGCGCGAGAAAGCATGAAGAAGCTTACAAAACGCTTATCTCGCCTAATCAATCAGCATATATATGTGCGTTTTTCACTAAATCGTAATTTGTGGGTCATTGCCAGTCTTTCTGCCTTACTCTGCGTCGTTCGTTTGAAATTAATTACGACTAGCCCAATGTTAAACGTTACTTCAGTGTTCTTAAAGCAATGATTGAACGTAAGCGCTTCCTCTCGGGCATGGTGGTTTATTGGTTATAGTACTCGACAGCTTAACTTGAAGGTCTCAAGAATGAATACCAGCCACAACGTCCGTGTTTTAATACAGGTGAAAGTTCAGAGGCCCGCCTACTTCGATTTTAACGTGCGTTAAACAACCCAAGCTGCAGTGAGAAATTTCCTAATATCTCCATTCTGGCAATCCTGGTAATCGCATCGTGGCTTTAGGGCGTAAAACCACATCAAAAGGTTAATTTACTTGGTGTAACCGCATTTCGTCCCATTGATATATGGCTTCAGTTTTTTGAGACCTCAGCCCACTTGAACCTTAACAGCACTATGTCTGAGCCAAGAAGATGCATTGGCAAGTAATATGTTGAGTAGCACGATTGGTTATATCTTCTGAATAATACTTTCACCTAGCTAACTGTACATAGTATTCTTCATAAGTGTGGTCACTCTCTGTCCGAACGTGTTCTCTAATCATGCGTTGGATGCGAAAGTACTGAGGTTTATTTCATGTCCTCGTGACTTATGGAATATAATCTGTAAACGGTATCGTGTGCTGTGTTTCAGATGCTCCGCATGCAGCTCACGCAGTCATCACGGAGAGTGTGGAAATTTCCGTGGCAAAACTTTAAATTTAGGCATCACGATCCGTTTCCTGAACGTCGCTTTCAAGCAAACAAAAAAAAACATTTTAATTGAGCTGTTTCTGTTAACTTCTCAGCAAACAGACAAAGAAACAAACGTTGAAATATCGGTATGAAGTTCAATAGTCTGTATAATTCACGGGGTTGCAGCATTTCTGTCATTTTGGTATTACCGTAAATAAGAGAGACTTATTATTGTTGCCGTTGTTTCGGCGATGGCACTTCCATCGTAATGAATTTAGTCCGTTTGTCAATACTCTTTTCTAGCGTAGAAATAGATCATTATATTGCGATAAATATTTATTAGAGACCATCAGTGAACAGGAAAGCACGTAGCCTGGAATTCAGCTCAAAGCTTTACATGCATAATGACTCGTGTGACTCCTTCATGCGCGATTTTCTCGGCTTTTTTGTTGTGTTTGATTGGATCGCACGTTCGCTTGACGCTTCGCATGTTAACATAAGTGTGGGAACGAGAGCCTGTCGTGCCACTTAATCACCGAGTTGGATGCACTCAAGGCGGGGCTCTACAAGAGCCGCACGACACGCTCCAGTGACCGCAAGACCTCCCGTGACCGCGTAGTCCAGTTTATCATGTACTGCTTCCTGACTACCCTTGGTGCAGGTAAGCTGTAGCATTGCTCTTGGATATCTACGTCACAGAAGTAACATTACTTCGATATACCTGAAACTAACTTCCGATAATATGCAGAAGCGCAAAAATTGGAAATGTGTTATAGAGGTGTTAATAAAAATTAGAATGATATTTGTACAATTACTTCGGTAAATTCACGATAAGAAAAAACACGATGACTCGTGTTCAGGTTAACTATTATTACTACAACTCTTAAGAGAGCACGATTAGATTTACGTAACAAAGTGTGAGGAATGGGGTAAGGTAAGGAAGGAGCGCGGTATTCGAATGTCAAAGGAAATTTTCATTTTTGCTCTACCAAGTGTCGGACATTGCCATTGCCAACACCTTGGGGATAGAAATCACCTGAACAATATTTGTTGAGAAATGAACATTTGACAGTCATACATTTATTGCACGAGGCCAAAAAGAAACTGCACGTACCTCGTACATTTATTAAGTACACAAATAGTTTTCTAAACACGACTCCAGCAATCTCTGGCATTGCGTATGATTGTACATCAATATCAATATAGTGGACATGCCTACTGAGATGAAGGTTTTTTTTCGTTTCTTTTGCTGGATCTTCAGTAACGTCAACAAAGAAAGGCAATAACGAATAAAATTGAAGGACATTATTTTTGAATTTACAGTAAACAAGCCAAGTACTAATGCGCAAAACGATAGCGACATGTCTCGCAACAGCTGCTTAGTTTCTTCCGCGCCGTGCTCACTACGGATGTCCCACACTGTACTTCTTAATTTAAGTCGTTTGTGTGTTGAAAAAAAGTTACTGTCTACTCTGTTCACCGGCAAAAAAGCTAAAACATGAGAGGTGGCTCTTGTATTATGTTATTTTCATTACAGGGTTTCTGAAGGGATGCCTCGGGGTCGTCGGCTGTGCAAGAGTTGGCCAATATGGCCTGCACTCGTGTGTCTATGGCAGAGGCCACTTGAAGCAGTACTACGAGCCAGAACTCTCGAAGTATACTGTGCAGCACGACAACGAAGGGTACCCCATACATCCTAAGACGTATGTAATACATCGCCTAATACTTTGCACCTTAAAAAGACACTGCAGACATTTCTAAGTCATGTACTGACGTGTCCAACGTTCAAAAAAACACCTGCAAGCTCAGCATAATCGGATTAAGTTCTCTTGCTACACTGTCTTATATTTCCGCAAGGCTATACTGGTGGTTGACAGCTATAACTTATGTTGACAGATTAGTGACGTGCATGAAGATTTTTTTCTTTATACATTGGCTGTTAGAGGGCAAGCGATATGGGCGGTGTTCACTCGGGTATTCTTTTTAACAGTGGACCGTGCTGTACATTGGTAAAGGCGACATGGGATTGGGATGACAGCAAATCTAAGAAGACAATCACAATCACGTACATGTATGAAAACAAAAAAATCGAAGTATCTACCATGAAAGTGAACATAACTGTACTTCCAAACGGAAGTTTAGTATTCACAACGTGTTTTCTTATAGTTTCCGTTCGCCTGGCTGGATGAGTGGCTAGGCTACTCGGCCGCTCACTCCAAGGTCACGGGTTCGATCCCGGTTGCGGTGTTCAGATTTTGATGGAGTAAAAATGGTAGAGGCCCGTGTACTGTGTGATGTTAGTGCATGATAACCAACACCAGATGGCTGAAATTTCCCGTAGCCCTTCACCACGGCATCTCTCACAATCATATGATGGTTTCGGCAAATAAAACCACCCTATTCTTAGTATCATTTATAGTATCCAAAGGTGGTGAATTATTCTACGTAGTGCCTAGAAAAGGAAATTCCTTTGTAAAAATCTGTAGCACTGTTGGGTTGCTAAACTGTTTCTTAATAGAGGCATGGAGGAGCAGCGTTGCGGAATACTGACCCTAAGTTCAAATAGTTGAGGAAGTTAGCTGTATTGCTATAATTAAAAATAAAAGACAAAGTAAAAATTGTGATTTTAAAGTAAGGCTCTTATATAATACTGTCTATTACATAAATAAGTAAATAACTTTGCTCATTATCTAGTGCACATAAAAGTCGCTCAAGTCATAGCGAGAATGTCATGACTAACTCAATCTGGCAATTAATAACGTCAGCAATCTTCTATCAGAGTGCATTTCTAAGAATCAGAATGCGGTAAGTTATTTTATTGTTCTCACTGATAAATAAACACCTCACAGGGTTCTAAACTTGTAAAAACGAAGGTAAAGGACCATTTAAAATTTATATTCTTCTGCGATCAAATAGTAACATTTTGAGTATTGCCAATCATCTATTCATACCACGTTGCCTCATTCTAATTTGTTCAACGATGCCGGTATTTAAGACAATTTTATGGGCTTATTTATGTTTATTATTTACTTATTTATGTTTATAAGCATGTCCAAGAGCCGAATACATAAAAACCAGGGAGCGAGTAGCAATGTTGTGCATGACACAACAAATCAACGGTGCTAATATTTATTTAAAAAAAAGCAGATGAATAGCATGGAACCTCGTTTCTGAATTAATCTAAGCCACGTGTTTTTCCACAAGCGAAAGGCAGATATTTCAGTCTCTTAATAACAGAATAAGCTGGAACTGGAAGAATTTGATTTTACCTTGTTTGGGGAAATGTACGTGTTATATACATAATTTTGATTGTATTCGGTGTTAATTATGCGCCAATTGAATATTGTCGTATTTTATTGTCACAAATAGTCGCTAAAAGCTTCACAAAAAGGAGAACAACAGCCTAATTTAAATAGCTGTCTACGTACAGAATAATTAAAAATGTTATGTTACGTTAATGCGATGATCACAAAGACTTGCCTTCACAGAGGCACTTCAAGTTTGTTCGAATCGCAATTTTTTTATCGCAGAAAGCTTCGTACAAGAGTAATCAGCTACTGCACAGAGTTCTTCCTCAACGTGGTTTTCTTCTTCATCTGGCCTGTACTGCTGTACAGCCGAACAGACAGTCGGGGGACGCCACCTAAGTATGAGCTTCTCGACAGCAACAGCAGCAGTCTTGAGGTGAGCTTCTCGTAGCAAGCCATCTTCGCCCCTACGTAATACTGTTTGAGCCATGAGAATGGGAGCTTAAGCTATGTTGATCAGTCCAACAGCCTTGAATATTTCTTGAACACTGCAATGAAAAGATTATTCACAATCATTGTAATGAGCGTGGTGATAACATGAGCGCCACTCTCGATGTGTATTTCGACATGTGTGTGGTTCTTCGAGCAACATTGATAATATAGTTAGCGTTTGTCATGGGTTTGGTAGCTACCTCCTATAGATTGGTCACTGTAAATTTTAGTTTTTTTTGGAACTTATGCTTGTGGTAGAAAGAACAGTGTTCCAATATCTAGCTGGCTGGAAGCAGTATACTAAAGTTAAAAAAAAGTTAGCTGAATGATAATCTGGCGAATGATAACCGAGAAGGTATGACCAGTGCTCACGCACAAAAAACGGTAACATAGTTTCCGGCCACGGCGGCTGCAATTTTGATGGAGGCAAAAATGCTGTAGGCCCGTGTGCTTATAATTGCCTGGACATTAAAGAGCTTCGGGTGGTCTAAATTTTCGCGTCTCTCATTATCATATGGTGGTTTTGAGACGATAATGTTCACAGAGCGATCAATTACAGCTGGAATACTTTTAGGAAACAGTATTAGAGCTTATTGTCACTTTGTGGTAGAATACTTAACTTTCATGCAGAATTCCTAGGTTCGATTACAGCTCGAGCCACAATACAATTACAGCTCAATTACTGCTCGAGGCGGGCAGGTAGGCATACCGGCAGGCAGACTGGTCGGTCGGTCGGTCGGTCGGTCGGTGTAAAGCGGAGATGTGCTGAGAGTGGATTTCCTGTCGTGATGAGAAGCTCTGCAGCCGGTTGGTCGGTCGGTCGGTGTAAAGGGGAGATGTGCTGAGAGTGGATTTCCTGACGTGATGAGAAGCTCTGCAGTCGGTCGGTCGGTCGGTCGGTCTCAGACCACCTTGATCATGCGCACAAGGTAACATTAATTTTTGCTAGGGACAAAGAAGTTTCTATATTCACCATTATCATTATTCATAAACGAGTGGAACTCCCTTCCACCTAACTTTGCGGAAATAACAGATCCTTCCCTTTGGACTTGATGCTACAGGGCTATCTTCATAGCGACTATCAATTCAACCGGCGCCTGGTTGTCCACGTTTTATTTACAGTCATTGTTTGCAATCGCCCTGCAATGTTCTTATGTGCAATTTCCATTAGTGGTTTCACGTTTATTTATTCACATTGATAAATGTGCTTATTGGCGAATATGTGGTTCAATTTTCTCGCTGTTTTCCTTTTGTTGAATTTTGGTCTTTTTTTGTTTACGTTGATTAAAATATATGTACCCATGTAAATCCCCCTCCTGTGCAATGCCCAACAGGGCATTAGGGTATTAAAATAAATGTGCGCGTGCTGTTGGGAAAATGTACTTGACTGATGAACATGAGATCAGCTGATGCCGCCCGTGGTTATGCTTTAGTACCACTCAAATTTATTGAGAATAAAACTTTAAAAAGAGTTATAATAATAATAATATTAATATATATACTAATAATACTTTTAAAACAATGCTTATTTTCAACATGTTGGATATGAATAGTTCATATGGCTAAAGGCAGATTAACTGCCTTTAGCCGTAGGTGAAATTATGATGTCAGCATTGCAATTTGGCAGTGTTCAGCATTACTATTTGCTGGAAGTTTATGCCATCGATACACTAGAAAGCTGTTCTTTTTTGTCAGGAAAGATTTATTCTGCAACATGTATTCGCGAAGGTGCGCCAAATGTATAACGCGTGGAGGTACCCTTTTCAGACGTGCATTCTCGAGCAGCTTCGCTTTATCGTCTTTTGTTATATCAGACACACGACCGCATTTAGTGTCGCTAGACACTCTTATTATGGTGCCCGCCAAGCAACGAAACGAATCGTCAACACCGTCTGTCCTCTTTGGTGGATCTCCGCGTGCTCACTGGGGTCGACCGAAGAGAAGCCGCCCTTCTTTATTGCTTATGGCTAGGAGTGGCTTTTACAAAATCTTATTCATTTGTCATAGGAATGGCCGACAAAGCTCTCTGCGATGTCTGTCGTTGCGAAGAGACGCTACACCACATCCTGTGCGACTGTCCGTTGTATGACTTCCAGAGACACTCATTGGCATCTGTTCTTGCGTGCATCGACAACAGCCAAATGTCTGTGGACACTATTCTTTCAAGTGCCCGAGAGAAGACATTGCAACAGAAGGCGACAAAAGCTCTGTTGAAATTCCTACGTGACACGGACTTTAACAAGCGGCTGTAAAAGCAATGTCACACACCGCGAAATACAAGACTGAACTACGAGTGTGCACGCGTGTGAGGCGGAATGTGCTGTGTTTATCTCTCTTCCCTCTCTGCTCTCTAACTTTTATCTCCTCCATCCCCCTCCCATGCGCAGTGTAGCAAACCAGCTGCCTATAGGCTGGTTAACCTCCCTGCCATTCTTTTCCTCCTATTCTCCTCCTGCCTTACGGCAGCGCCGTCACGTGCGCGTGACTGCACACCTGTACTGCGAGAAACACGTGCCACTTGAAATTATCTTGCGCAGTTGAACTGAGTGACCACGAGTTTTTGAGTCCGAAGGTGGCAGTACCTCAGATTCAAGCTGTGATAGTGACTCCAGCCTGGGACATCCGCAGTCGTTCGGGATGGTTTGATTTACTATATTAAGTTGCCTCTTCCACGGCACGTGCGTTGTTGATGACCTTTGTGCACTTTTTTAGAGCTACCCTGCTTACGTGTGAGCTTTGCTGGTCCCTGAGGTGAGATGTGCTGGCTCTGGCTGCAGGGCTTCTCATCACGACAGGAAGTCCACTCGCAGCACATCTCGGCTTTGCACCATACTGTGACGTGGTTGTGACGTTCACGAAAGCAGCATACTGTATGTCAAAGATTAAACTGTTTATTATGCTGAACTTGTGGCCGGTAAACGGAAATTCAGGCTACAGCACTGATTGAATTCCAGGCTACACTGGCACTGATTGTGGCGGACAGAGCGTCGGCCGTCGATCAACTGACATGCACTGACGTGTGTCGGCATGTGTACACATGCGCTCGAATATTCCAGCGTGATGACTAGTGACCACGTGTGTTCCCGATAAATCTGTAATGTTAGCGTTGTGCGCTTAGTCTTGACAAAACAATATAGTACAATTCAGAATATTTTAGAACACTGAGTCGAGGTTCGCACTGACGATTACTGATAATTTTTGCCGGCGTAAATCAAATACAGCAAGAGCGAAAACAAAAACGCACGTGGCAATATGATGCTGCACAAAACAGCGGCAAGGTTCCTTTTGGCGCTGCATAAAAGGTTGCCAGACTAGGAGGGCCAGTGTTGCCAGACTGCCGCTAAATCTGACTGCAAATTTTTTTGTCTTGTATGGGTGGCTTCTTCGTGAGAATTTGGCGCCATCCGCGGTGCATTTCGCGAACGAGCGACGCTGGCCGTTTCAATTAACGGAATGAACCGCGCCTAGCAGAAGTCCAGCACGGCGCTGCCGTGCAATTAAGAGGCCGTTTTAATTAACGGAATGAACCGCGCATTACAGAATTCGTTTTATTTACGGAATGAACCGCGCCTAGCAGAAGCGAGCGCGGCGCTGCTGCGCAATTAAGAGGCCAATTTAATTAACGGAATGAACCGCGCCTAGCAGAAGTCGAGCGCGGCGCCGCGCTCGACTTCTGTAGCGCGCGGTTTGTTCCGTAAATAAAATGAATTCTGTAACGCGCGGTTTATTCCGTTAATTAAAACGAATTCGACTTCTGCTAGGCGCGGTTCATTTTGCTAATTAAATTGGCCTCCTAATTGGAAGGCAGCATCACGCTTGACATTTGCTAGGCTCGGTTAATTACGTTAATTAAAACCAATTATGTAATGCGCGGTTCATTCCGTCAATTAAAACGGAATTAAAATGACCTCCTAATTGCACGACAGCACCACGCTCGACTTCTGCTAGGCTCGGTCCATTCCGTTAATTAAAACGACCAGCATCGCTCATGCACTCGCGCAATGCACCGCGGATGGCACCAAATTCTTACAAAGAAACCACAACCACAGAAAAAAACTTTCCGCCAAATTTAGCGGCAGTCTGGCAACAACCACCCCAAAGTCCGGCAACTGACTTATGCAACGCCAAAAGTAACCTTGCACAAAACAGCTTCACCTATGCGTGTGGTTGCGCCTCTTTTTCAGTAGTATTTGTGAGAATGCAAATAAACATGCTTGAATACATAATTTGGAAGGCCAACTCATTCGGTGAGAGGAGGCTCATGGAAAGAGTTGATGCTAGGCCTACAGGTAAAGTTTGTTGCACGTCTTATTTATACAAACATTATTCACACCGGGCATTCGTTTAAACAGAAACATTAGGAGGCTTTTCTAGTAAAAAAGCAACAATAAAAATCATGTGAAAAGTCTAGGAATGCACCTGCATTGAGCAGCGACCTTGTATGTTTCACCGCTTCGCACAGGCAATGAAGGAGTACTCTGCTTCTAATTTTGCTAATCACTCGTTATTGAAGACTTCGTAGAACATCTATTACTTTTTGTACTATTCTTAGGTCTTTTATCATCAAATCTTGCATTCTGAGTCGTCTTATTTTGAATGCTCCTGCATAATTAGTGTTTTATGGCTCTGTTTTTAGCTGGCATCAATATTTACGCAAGTTTCAAATTTTTCTATTACACTAAATTTTTGTGGTTCTGCAAGTTGTATTTTTTAGAAAGCGCATTTTATTATGCATAGTTTGGCATATTTTAATGCGTGCTGGAGCGCCTTTCGAACTGGAAACAACTATTTTCTCGAAACGTATGAAAAATAGCCATTTTTCGCGGTAACGAAAGAGTTAAATCACTTCTTCTCTTGAAACGACTATGTTCGCTCCTAACACATTTCGTCGCAATTTTGTAGATTTGTGCAAACTAGAATTTCAGAAATCTTTCGAAAAGCGACATTTCTAGTAACTTTATGCATCAAACTGCCCCAGCTTAATTTTTTTAGTAGGTGTATGTCTGCGGTGTATATTAAACTCCAAATACATGCTATTTTTTCCTTTTCAGGATGACTCGGGTCGCATTACTCATCCAAAGAGTGAAGTCATTATACCGGTACAATTGTCGAACGGTCGCAGAACGCGTTTTAAGACGTAGGAAAGTGCAGCAACTTCGTAGTTTTATTAATCGCGCTCCTTTTAAACATTCTTTGTAAATTGCGTAACACTACGCTGTCTTTACATACAATTACGACTTGACTGCTGGCAGTATGAGGAGAACGAAGCTCTATCTTAATCGTGTAAGCTCAGTTGTTGGCATAAAGAAGGCTTACCAGGTGCATGTGTAATTACATTACGTTCAAGGTGTAGGTTATTGTCCGATATAACATTGGCAGTCACGTTAAAGCACATACATCAGCTGCATCAAATAGTAGTATTGATGAAACTGCAAGCACAGCTGTAAGTTATTCCTGTGGTGCCGACGAACGCTATAGGCTGTAGCTTGCCCATCCATAATATTACATATCTACAATGATTACTACATTGATCTACACGGGGATAGGCAACACTGCAACCACACATGACGATAAACAGTTACCTTAAATGCTGATTGAATGCATTTCTTTTCTCTCTGTAGAGGCTGTTTGAGTGTAGAGGGTCGCCATGAAAGGTTTGTTTTTGTGTTCTAGAAAAAAATTTGCCAGTTTAACGTGGGATGTTTCCTTGTCTTATTATGGAAGCCATACATCTAGCGCAAGAACGCATTCTCCAGTCCGTCATATACGGGTATTCGTCACCAGTGGCAACATCAAATTCTTTTCTGACATAGCCGATAGACTTGTTGCAAGTCTGATTACACAGATATTATGACTGCTCAGCCATATTCGCCATGCTCCCTTGCCAACCTGTGACCCTTTCGACGTATATCAGGTTAGTTAGTTGACAGCGAGAGAGCCCAGACATGACCCACTGATAGATAGATAGATAGATAGATAGATAGATAGATAGATAGATAGATAGATAGATAGATAGATAGATAGATAGATAGATAGATAGATAGATAGATAGATAGATAGATAGATAGATAGATAGATAGATAGATAGATAGATAGATAGATAGATAGATAGATAGATAGATAGATAGATAGATAGATAGATAGATAGCGGACGGACGGACGGACGGACGGACGGACGGATGGACGGATGGATGAATGGATGGATGGATGTATGGATGGATGGATGGATGGATGGATGGATGGATGGATGGATGGATGGATGGATGGATGGATGGACAAAACCCAATTGATGAATGAACCAAAAATCTTTTGCATTTAAAACTCACGATACATTTGAACAAATTAAAGGATGACACACAACACAAAAGAACAGGATGAGCTCCAAAGTTTCAAATTATTTGATTCATCAGCGCAAAGAAGATTTCATAGCACAAGCCAACCACATGATGAGTGCACACGCATCACAGTTTTCTTTAGCAACAAAGAAACTGCAATGTGGTGCTGAGAACCCTCACCTCTTTATCTTGAAGCAATCCTGAAGCCGCGCTCATGCTGCCGTTGCTACTTTGCCTACACGCCTGTATCATTTCTCTTGCCGCGTTTATTTTTTTTTTTGCTCGGCCAATTTGCTTCGCTGCAATGAACTTGCACTAGCAACACAAACCTTGCAATGCTTTGTCATCAGGCTGCCAAAACCATATTTAGGGGTGAAGGTCCTTGTTTAGAAAAAGTTTATTTACAGCATGTACAGAACACAAAGGCTTCATACCATTCCAGCAACAGGGCACATACACTTCTGCACATCTATATTTCACGACTAACATCACTACGTCACAGTAAAGACATTTGCTCTAATATACAAGATTATGTAGGCATACATGTACACAAAAATCCAATGTGATATCACGATACATGGGTATAACGATACAATAGATCCAAATAAAACACAATTTGTAACAAATGAAATCATATATAACAACTCAACGGGTGCTACTTAGCACCAAGTCGGTCGAAAAATGAGTTGTATCCTTTCGTGTTCCACCTTGACGAAAGGGCACGACCAATGCCGCAGAAACTCTTGCTCCCCGAGGAAGAAAAGCTCTTCGGAGAGGAACGCGAGGATCTCTCGTCTCATTCTCCCCAGTATCGGCCACAAAGCACGCCGGCGGCAATTGGAAGCTACGGCCTCACATCGGTTTCTCCAAAGGCTGAAAAGCCCCGCAACTATTAAGAGAGCGGAGAAGCGGCTACGCGGAAATCGGCCGTTGGACACGAAAGTTCGCACACCCTGTCCCCGAAAACCAGCATTAACCGCACGCCAAAAAAGGCGGGAAACCACACATTCAAACGTCGCATGTCGATTGGTCTCTACCATGACGCAGTTGGGGCAAGTGGAAATGCGAACCACCTGCCATCGCTGCAACCGATCTCGCGTGGGGAGCAAGCCCCAGCCCAGCCTCCAGACAAAGTCTCTGAGATGCCCTGGCAACACTGCGGCAGTTATTGGTTTCCAAGCGCGGTTCAATACAGATTGACGATGCTGGGGCACCAGGGCCGTAGAAGGGCGGCCATTGTGTCCACCACTTTAGAATCGGCCACCTCTATCTCTGGGCACGTAGCTTCCAAACGTCGGTGAAATGCCAGAAGGGCTCGATACAAGGGTGGTAATTCAGTTGATTGGGGACCTTTGTTTGTTTGGCTATCCGGCAAGAAGACACGTAGTGATGGCCCCAGATGGTAGCGAGCCAGTGTCTGAGCGGGTATGTCATCATTGCTTAGTATTCGCAATAGAGTGCGGAGGCACAATGTAGAAGCCGCGACGGAAACGTCGGGGAATGCAAAACCACCTTGATCTCGCGGTTGAGCTAACGCTGGACGCGATAACAATTCTGTGCCACCAGACCAAAAATCTTGAAGGGATCCTGAAGCCACGCTCGTGTTGCCGTTGCCACTTTGCCTGCATGCCTGTATCATTTCTCTTGCCGCCTTTATTTTTTTTTTTTTTGCTCGGCCGATTTGCTTCGCTGCAATGAACTTGCACTAGCAACACAAACCTTGCAACGCTTTGCCATCAGGCTGCCAAAACCTTTTTTTTTTTTTTACATAGAGACGGGGTTGTCGACAACTAAAATTGAAACACTGCCCGGTTCTGTCTATATATTCTTTCCCGCAACTTCATGTAATATTGTTCACCACTCCAGATGTCTACTGAGTGTTTATTGTATTCCGCTGCTATGTATCCATAATAAAGCGCTATATATTTTTTTCTCCTTTTATACACAGAGAAAGTAAACGGGCCAAGTATTCGCAGTCTCCAGTTGAGATTCTAGCATTTCGTCTTGCGGATGCAAAGATCGATCATTCTGAAACAAGCAGACCGACCATGGAGGTCGAGCGGCTGGCTATATCAATCTGAGCAACGTCTGAGGTCTTTCACTTCTCGTGTCAAGGCGTACTTATAAGCTCATAGATGTTGGCTTAACCGAACATATATTCCCTGTTGCATGATGGGCCAGCCATTATCAATCATGCAGAAGTAATAAGGGTCCCTCATTTTCGAGTGTGCTTCTTTGGCCACACTTAGGTTCAGCTTCGTTTGATAGACTAAAGGCCAACCGAAAAAAATATTCGCAGTGAGTCACACAGTTTCTACGGAGGAGAGTTTTATAACAGCATTACCTATTCATTCTCCGTCTTCCTCTTTTTATAAATGGAAAGTGGCTGCCCTAACAGGCTTGATCACTTTGCATTTAGGTGCGCCACCATGCAGCAACAAAAATGATGCTGTAAAGCTGAATTTAGATATATTTTAGCTGTTCACTTTGTGGACGGGCACGTTGGATACTCAAATGTGGCAAGTCGTTCGTCTGTTTATGTACTATATCCTGTTTACATACGATAGGCACACTCGGCAATTAACATTATGTATAAATATAGTATACAGGCGTGTCTCTTACGTCCTTTTTATTTTAAAAAAGTGTTTTATGCGGAAACTAATGTCATTTCAACGTGACACTTCGCGTCGTTGTTTAATGTGGATACAAAGTTTCCATAGCTCGTAATTTTTATTATGAACCAAGTTTCCTATTCCATACACTGAATGCTAAGCTTGAGCTTCAGAGATGATGTCCAGCAATAAACTCGTGCAAATATACAGTGCACGCGCGACGTGTCTTTGGTTGCGAGTATACTTACTCATAGTTGAGAATAAACAGTTCTCTTCGGCGGTCATTTCCTTTCATGCACATCTATAGTATTATTTCATGCATGTAGTGTAGCGCCACAGAATCACTTTTATATTGTTATGAGCAACATCGTGGTGGAGAGCTCCAGAAATTTCGACCATCTGACGTTCAGTTACCAGCGCCTAAATATATTAACTTGGACTTTTGGCATTCTCGCCACCACCGAAAGTGAGTCTACGAATGGGATTTGGTTTCGCCGTCTTTTGGTCAGCTGTCTAGCTCCATAACGACTAGACCGTCACGGCGGGTTTCGCTCAACATCAAGTCCATGACAAGAAACTCAAGGCAAATAAATGCGTTGCATTTACCGTGCTTAAAGAAGTGATAAACGAAAACCTCATGTAAGCAATCGTTTAAGGTTCTCGCGTATGCTTGCATCTTTCCTCAAACAAAAACTGGTGTCATAAATAAACAGCTAGACCATAAGCCCTCTCTTTATTTTTTAATAAACAAAAGCTCATCTTTCATTTGGACCGACGCACATAATTGCCCTGTGTCATATACAAACAGCAAGCAACAAGCGCACAGAAGCAAAGTTCTTCAAGAGCGTTTACAAGCAGCCTATAGCCCAAGGAGTAGTACCAAACAATGGATTAGCTCATGCAACGGCCTTGCTCACGCAGGGCGACAGGGAAGCAAGACTGCGCATGCTCTGAGCCCTATGAAAGATGCGTGACTTTGCGCACGAAGGGGAATGCACCCGATAGGTCTCAGCAGCTATATATGTTGCGCCCGCTACATCATTGTGTACCTCGTCGGCGTATCTTTCGCGAGATCTCGAGTAGCCGAGGGCAATACAGGCGAGCTATTCTCGTGTTGTTTAAATTTGTGCGCATGTCAGGAGTGCATTGGTTACTCAAATTAACTATGCACCATGACGTCATGACGCGCTAGAT